AGGGCCTCTCCCCTGTATGCACACGCTGGTGGGCCACAACATTGGACAATCCAGGGAACGCCTTTCCACAATACTTACAAATGTAGCTTTTCCGTCTACCTTTCTCTATGTGCTTTGGTAGTTGCAGCCTGGCATGAGAAGCCCCAGGCTGAGGTAAGTTGGACATCATTTGGGGAATCACAGTGAAATATGAAGAGTTTGTTCTACTTGCAGTCTCTGTCTGAATCACTTCGGGACTACTGATTTGCCCTGATGCTTCAGTTTGGCTTTGCCTCAAAATGGCAGCTTGATTCCACCTTTCCTCTTCTCTTATAGGTCCCTCTGCTGCTCCTGCATTGCTTACAGCATGTGTTCGGGTAGATGATGCTCCATCCCGTCCACCTTTGGAGCTTCTAATAGATGATACAGTCTCTGACTGAACCAGCATACAGTCTTGATCCTGGTCCAAATTTGTATATGAGCAGGATGGATGTGTGGGCCAGTGCATAAAGCTGGTTTTAGGTTCTGCATGTCTGTCATACAACAAGCAGTCCGTTCCTGACATTTCAGTGGCTGTCTTTTCTCTGCTGAGCAGAGTCTGGTTCGTGGGTGAAGTTCTGCTTTTCACCATTCCCTTGTGTACGTGCCCTGAGCCTGTGAGAGCTGCAGTTTCTCCTGTTGTTAGACCCTTGCTAGGTCGACCAGCAAACCTGTGGTACTGGTGCTGTTGAGGCCTACTTGGACTGGACTCAACAGTACCTGGATTTAAATATGTTCAGATACTGTCAGACCACTTCTAATCTGCAAATACTCTTAGCTCTAAATTTAAGATGACATTCAAATCTGTTTAGTTAAAAAGCTTTATATAGTGTGCTTATACGTACATATTCAGTGTATATACGCATTGAAAGGTTAAATCTTCATCTGTTTTCTTCTTTTCATTTACTCACCCTGTATATGCAGTCCGGTGGATGAAGAAATTTTGGTTTTCTGGCTCCTATCCTGTCCATTTTCACTCGAATGGAAAAATTCCACCTCTATGGGCTGGAAGTAAAATAAAACTACATTCATTTGTTTTGTTTTGATCCTAAAGTGGCTTACTTTTACTTTGCAGCTGTAGCGTGACACTTTCCTGTTGGCACTATTTAGCTCTGTCCTAGTTTTTTGCATCTTAAGAGAGCAGTAAATCAACAAACCTTCTCTGTACCAGGTGCATCTGTGCTTTTGGCTGGTGAGGTAGAAAGTCTTCCGCTACAAAATTCTGTATTTGACTCTGGTGAGGAAAGAGAACGAATGGTCATTTTATTGGATACTAGATTCCAGGCAGAAGTATGTAAATGTTTTACATACATGTTACAAAATAGTTGATGACAATTTATATTTTTGGGTGAACTCTCCCTTTAATGAAATATATGCATCTATTCTTATTATAAGAAAGACATTTAATTCAACACAGATGGTATCATAATATTCTACCACTGACTTAAGCATCAAATAGAGGACTCATTGGCCCTCTACTCACCATCTTGCACAATTACAGCTTGTGCCTGGCTTCTTTCCCACTGGTCGTTTAGATCTTCCTTTATCACTATTGTTTCTGGTTCTCCGACTTCCACCTGTCCTTGCTGCTGAACACATGAAACAAGGTTTTGTGTTACAACATGGCCCTGGCTGGCACATAAACATCAAAATGTGTGAAGCTTTCCGTGAGCAAATTAACTAGATATTTCTTGTATACGATGAATTGTGTTCAGTGGATTGTAAGGGTGTCATAAGGTTCCTAATAACTGAAGTCTGACTGTACAAACAGCTGTGGACGTTTCATTCTTTAAAAAGTCAAGTGTGTAAGTATTTATGCAACTGCTGAACAGCCAGAGCATGATTTATTAGTATTTAACAATGGTTGGGTTTCCTTTAGTCAGGTATGTGGATCTAATCATGTATCACATTTTACTCATCACGTCATAGTTGTTTCATATGGAAAATCAGAATTTATGTTATTGCACAGTGCTGACTAAATTCTGGATATTAGTTAAATAAGTTTGAACTGTCCTGATATTGGTAAGGAAATTTTACACTTGTGGTTGCAAAGGCAGTGACCACCTGATGATTCCATAAGGTTTTACTTCCTCCAACTTCCTGCCTTCAGTCATCATTTTTATAAGACCAATGTTCTTCAAAAGACAAACACAAAATGAGTGCAGAAATGTTTATTTAAACATGCTGAACACTTATTATACCAAAAACTATTGCAGACTAAGTTGCTTCATCTTTTTGTACAGTACACCACAGGACAGAGCTTTACTATGAATTTGCTAATTATATAAAAACACACTTCGACTAAAAAAAAAACTATGTAAATCATGTATATAATTTAAATGAAAGTCTTATCCAGAAGAGATATGATGGTGGTATAATACACACTCATGAGCAGTAATCTGGTGATCATTTATTGACTCCTAGAGAAAGCAGTTCTTCTGCAGTTAACATATCAGAATGGTACTTCTGTTGGTGGTTTTTGAGGTTTCGTATCCAGGCAAACGTCTGTCCACACTGAGAACAACTATACGGTCGTTCTCCTGTGTGGACTTTCTGGTGTTTTCTCAGATTTCCCGCCTCTGCAAAGAACTTCCCACAGGTGTTACACTTGAATGGCTTCTCACCCGTGTGAATCCGCTGGTGGATCACCACCTTTTTGGGGCGGTTGAAAACTTTGCCACAATATGTGCAGGCAAAGAGTTTTTCGCGAGGAACTCTGTCATTTCTAGTCCAAGCAACTCTTTGTTGGTTAAATATGACATCTCTGACATTGGGGTAGCTGTCCGTGGCTTGTATTTTTGAAGATGTTGATGCCACTGCTGCAAAGTCATTCGTTACCAGAGGCGGATTGGAGGAAGGCAAGAGGATCCTGCTATCCTGACGTTCCTCCCTCGCGAATTGGGGATAAACACGTGGAGCCTGGCTTTTCCCTCGTGCTACTTTGCTAGCCCACACAGAAATCTCTTCCCCCTCCTCTGCAGAGTCGACTTCTATGACCTCTGAACGGCGCAAAGGGCCTGTGTATTGGCTCTCAGCCGATCTTGCATTGTTCACATAGGTGCATGATTGTAGCCGTGAGTCTGCTTTGTCACTCCCTTGCATTAAATAATCCCTCAAAGGACTGGATTTTCCATTCAAATCAAACTTTCCTGCAGCATGTAATTCTATGGGCTCTTGGGATATCCCCTTAACACTCTCAAACTCTGGCTCAGATTTAAGCGCAGTGTCAGATCCACTGACCTCCAAAGTCGGCTGCTGCCTCCCAGAGACCTGATCATCATCTTTCACCATCTGAACATCACCAATACCTGCCTCTCCAGTCTGTGATGGCGTCTCTTTTACTCCTAAAAGCAGAGAAACAGTGTCAAGACAAGCTTTGGGTAAAAAATGGGTATTGTTAGCTACCTAACCTCTGTTACTTTTATAACAAGTGGCTTATATTCTCCTATACACTCACCACCATCTCTGATGAACAGTCTCTGCGGTGTTTGGTCCTCCTCAAACATCTCATCCTTTATCAGCACTGTGTCCGCTTCTGATAATACTGCATCTCCTGCCTTTCATGAAAGGATAAATCTCTATATATTAAACAGATATTTATGTAAAAAAAAAAAGTAATTGCTGCTGTTTCTATCTATGTCAGTCAATATATCTTCAATATTTGATTTATTTCGTTAATATATCTATATTTTATTTGTCTATGGCAGTCAAACTATTGTTAGATCTACCTATAAAGTTAACAGCTTACCATACTGTTACTTTCATTTACAGCTTGCTGAGCAGTCGAGTCTGTCCCTCCACCTCTCCACAGACCCGAGTTAAACTGAGCTCCATACAGGACGTCTGGGTGTATGAAAACCGGAGAAACAACAGAAAACAGGGTACTTTAACCACACTAGGTTTTATAATTTATTTGGTGTGACAGAGACACTGGCGGTAGAATAGTTCATGTAAGGTTTCATGATCACACACCGTTAGCTTGGTTCCTGTATTTGTCTGACAAAGCGGCGCTCACTTGAACCCGGTTAGTGCGATTCAGTGAACTAATCCTCCTCTCTGCGAATCCTCGTGCCATCTTAAGCTCCAGTATGTGAAGTTTTCTCTTCAGCGCTTTGTTTTCACGCTGACATTGAGTCATCTGTAAGTTTATGACCGCGTAGTCGTCGTCTACGAGTTTACATATCTCAGCCACCGCTGCATTTGCCAGCACCTCCATAATGGAAGCTAGCTGCGTGTGGAAAGCGATGCGATTGGACATGGTTAACGTTTACGCGTCCTACAGCACGTTTCAGTAAACGTTCAATGATTTGGGAGCTGGATGAAAATGGTACAGAATTCAGAAATGTAAAGACACGTCTTCAAAACATCGTGGGAATAACAATCATTCGCTCGGGTTTGACATCGTTCAGCACTTCCGGTCAGTAGTAGTGACGTAAAAACCATAAAGGCTCTTTTACTGCGCACACCAATCTAGCGTCGACACCGTTCAGTACATTTACTGAATGAATACAACTATAATTATTGTCTTGGCCACTTTGTCAGTTAGCCTATAGTTTGATTAATTTCGGCTAAACCGTTTGTTTGTGGCTTTTTAATGAAAATGATCTCATTTATAAACCCATATTATTTCGATAAAAAATTGTTTTGACTGGATACCGGAATTATTTATTTTTTTAAATGATCTGACCTTCGGTGAGATTTTAGCCACTGAAGCCATTCTTTGAAAGATGCATACATCTCATAAAATAAACATTTAATTCTGTTTTGGTACAAGAAAATATATAAACAATACATGCAACATATTTGGGCTTGTAAAACAAAATAAAAATAAAACGCATTATACTAAAAAAAAAAAAAAATCTTTCATAATGTGCATCAATGTTTCACAATAGCAAATTTATATGAAGTCATCATTTCACAATATTTTGTAGAATGGATTAATAAATAATGACATTATTGGGTGGGTGGGGGGATAACATTTCAAAGACTTTATATTACAGATTTAATTAAATCATTCCAAGGTCCTCAGAGACTACCTCTGGTGTTTGGCTTAGCTTCTTTTCTTGGTGAGGGGTTTTGGGTGGTTTGTAAACTTTGTTGTAGATGGATTGGTTTTCATCAGGCATTTTGTTTTGTTGAGAGCTGTCGTTTTTAGTTGACTGTACAAACTCAAGTTCACTATAAATGGGCTCTTCAGTCTGGTCAAGTCCTTTACTTGTGTTTAGTTTGACATGGTCGTACACCTCAGAGTACACCGATTCTTGCTGCTTGTCATTGTTTGGTGTTGTCTTGACAGGCCGGCAGTCCATCGCGTCAGTAAGGTTGGCATGGACACAAATGTTAAGTTTCGGGCGGATGACATCTGCAGGATCAGAATACACTGGTTCTGATTCATCCCAATGATGAGATTGGAGAGGATCTGTCTTTATATCTGCACACACAGGTTCATGTCTGCCTATTAAAATCGCAGGATTTGAATACACAGGCTCAATCAAGCTAATACCGCCACCAGGATCCGAGTGTGTGCTTTTTAAGGAGCAAATGGAATCTTTCGGTTCGGTTAAGCCAATAGGACTTGAAGGTTTTGTATGTACAGCATATATGTTTGGGCCAAGGACATCTGCTGGATTAGGGTTCAAGGGCAGTTTTGTGTCTGAAGGCTGAGGGCTGTTGCTGCCCTCCGTATCAAGCAAAGTAAAACTATCAGGGCGTCTTGGAAGGGGTGAGCGAGGAGAACGAGAACGTGGCGAGTGCCTGTCTCCAGTAACGGCAAGGCTCTTCTGTAGGCGAATAGCCGACTCAGTAAGGCGAATGATCTCGTCACTCTGTCTGGTCTCAAAGTTAAAGGTTCCAGGGCCCGATTCACAGCGCCTGCCTGCTTCTATAGAAAACAGCATCTAGAAAGGAACAGAGAGAGAAAGTCAAAAATATTTGTAAGCACTCATTTAACATGTTAACTAGTGACCTTATATTGGAAAAAAAGAGTTTACCATATATGTCATTTTACTGTAAAAATTTTGTAAAATGTATAGTTTTTTTTAATTATTTTTGAGACATAGCGTTCAAAAGTTTGGGTTGGTTTTTAATGTTTTTGAACAAAGTATTTTCTTGTCACAAAAGCTGCATTTATTTGATCAAAAATACAGTTAAACTGTAATTTTGTGAAATATTACAATTTATAACAGCTGTTTTCAATTTTAATATATTTAAAAATGTAATTTATTCCTGTGATGGCAAAGCTGAATTTTCAGCAGTCATTACACCTGTCTTCAGTGTCACATGATCCTTCAGAAATCATTCTAATATGCTGATTTGGTGCTCAAGAAACATTTCTTCTTATTATCAATGTTGAACAGTAGTGCAGCTTAATATTTTTTGTAAAAACAGTTTTTCTTTTTTCACGATTCTTTGATGAATATAAAGTTCAAAAGATCAGCATTAATTTTAAATATAATTTTTTTTAGAACATTGCAAATGCCTTTACTGTCACTTTTGATCAGTTGAGCCCTTATGGAATAAAAGTCTTATCAACTTAAACATCTTAGCGGCGCTCACTTGAACCCGGTTAGTGCGATTCAGTGAACTAATCCTCCTCTCTGCAAACCCTCGAGCCATCTTCAGCTCCAGTATGTGAAGTTTTCTCTTCAGCGCTTTGTTTTCACGCTGACATTGGGTCATCTGTAAGTTTATAACCGCGTAGTCGTCGTCTACGAGTTTGCATATCTCAGCCACCGCTGCATTTGCCAGCACCTCCATAATGGACGCTAACTGAGTCTGGAAAGCGATGCGATTAGACATGGTTAACGTTTACGCGTCCTACAGCACGTTTCAATAAACGTTCAGTGATTTGGCAGCTGGATAAAAATGATAGTAAATTCAAAAATGTAAAGACATATCTTCAAAACATCGTGGGAATAACACTCATTTGCTCGGGTTTGATATCGCTATGCACTTCCGGTCAGTAGTAGTGACGTAAAAACCATAAAGACTCTTTCACAGCGCACACCAATCTAGCGTCGACACTCTTCAATAATACATTTACTGAATTAATAAAACTATGACTGTTGTTTTGGCCACTCTGTTAGTTATAGTTTGGTTAATTGCGGCTAAACCGTTTGGCTTTTTGAATATTCAACCCAAATGAAAATTGTGTTTACTAACGCATACCGTTTCAAATCTGTTTCTTGACTGGATACCGGAATTATTTATTTTTTAACTGTTCTGAGCTTTGCTGAGATTTTAGCCACTGAAGCTTTTCTGTGAAAGATGCCGAGATCTCATAACATAATCATTTAATTCTGCTGTGGTACACCAAGAAAATACATAAATAATACATGCAACATGTTTGGGCTTGTAAAACAAAACAAAAATGATATATATATTTTTTTAATTTACTTTTTTTTTTTAGATACATTTTTCATAATGTGCATCAGTGTTACACAGAGCAGTCACCATTCCACAACATCTTGAAGAATGGATTAACAATGAAATTAGTGTGTGTGTGGGGGGGATCATACATTTTAAATATTAAATATGAATAGCTACTTGTGAAGACTTTATCTTTTATGCCAAAAATCATTAGGATATTAAGTAAAGATCATATTTCATGAAGATATTTTGTAAATTTCCTACTGTAAATATATTAAAGTTTAATTTTTGATGTAAATGGAACGCTCATTTATTCAGCTTTTAGATGATCTCAATCTCAATTTCAAACAATTGACCCTTATGACTGGTTTTGTGGTCACATATTACAGATTTAATCAAATCATTCCAAGGTCCTCAGAGACGACCTCCGGTGTTTGGCTTAGCTTCTTTTCATGGAATGGCTGAGGGGTTTTGGGTGGTTTGTTAACTTTGCTGTAGATGGGTTGGTTCTCCTCAGGCATTTTGTTTTGTTGAGAGTTATTATTCTGAGTTGACTGTACAATCTCAGGTACACTATAAATGGGCTCCTCAGTCTTCTGGTTAAGTCTTTTACTTGTGTTTAGTTTGACATGGTTGTACACCTCAGAGTACACAGGTTCTTGCTGCTTGCCATTGTTTGGTGTTGTCTTGACAGGCCGGTAGTCAATGGTGTCGGTCGGTTTGGCTTGGACACAATTGTTAGGTTTTGGGCGGATGACATCTGCAGGATCAGAATACACTGGTTCTGATTCATCCCAATGATGAGATTGGAGAGGATCTGTCTTTATATCTGCACACACAGGTTCATGTCTGCCTATTAAAATCGCAGGATTTGAATACACAGGCTCAATCAAGCTAATACCGCCACCAGGATCCGAGTGTGTGCTTTTTAAGGAGCAAATGGAATCTTTCGGTTCGGTTAAGCCAATAGGACTTGAAGGTTTTGTATGTACAGCATATATGTTTGGGCCAAGGACATCTGCTGGATTAGGGTTCAAGGGCAGTTTTGTGTCTGAAGGCTGAGGGCTGTTGCTGCCCTCCGTATCAAGCAAAGTAAAACTATCAGGGCGTCTTGGAAGGGGTGAGCGAGGAGAACGAGAACGTGGCGAGTGCCTGTCTCCAGTAACGGCAAGGCTCTTCTGTAGGCGAATAGCCGACTCAGTAAGGCGAATGATCTCGTCACTCTGTCTGGTCTCAAAGTTAAAGGTTCCAGGGCCCGATTCACAGCGCCTGCCTGCTTCTATAGAAAACAGCATCTAGAAAGGAACAGAGAGAGAAAGTCAAAAATATTTGTAAGCACTCATTTAACATGTTAACTAGTGACCTTATATTGGAAAAAAAGAGTTTACCATATATGTCATTTTACTGTAAAAATTTTGTAAAATGTATAGTTTTTTAAAATTATTTTTGAGACATAGCGTTCAAAAGTTTGGGTTGGTTTTTAATGTTTTTGAACAAAGTCTTTTCTTGTCACAAAGGCTGCATTTATTTGATCAAAAATACAGTTAAACTGTAATTTTGTGAAATATTACAATTTATAACAGCTGTTTTCAATTTTAATATATTTAAAAATGTAATTTATTCCTGTGATGGCAAAGCTGAATTTTCAGCAGTCATTACACCTGTCTTCAGTGTCACATGATCCTTCAGAAATCATTCTAATATGCTGATTTGGTGCTCAAGAAACATTTCTTCTTATTATCAATGTTGAACAGTAGTGCAGCTTAATATTTTTTGTAAAAACAGTTTTTCTTTTTTCACGATTCTTTGATGAATATAAAGTTCAAAAGATCAGCATTAATTTTAAATATAATTTTTTTTAGAACATTGCAAATGCCTTTACTGTCACTTTTGATCAGTTGAGCCCTTATGGAATAAAAGTCTTATCAACTTAAACATCTTACTGACCCCAAGCTTTTGCCTGGTAGTGTATAATTATAATGCTTTAAAGTAATTAACAAATAATTTATTTTAGTTAATATTCAACAAGAATATACATGTACCTTTATGGTAATTATTCTTAAAATTATGTTTTTTGTTTTGCTAGTAAAAATATGAGTTACCTTATAATTTCCTCTAAAAAAAAAAAGCAGCATCACATCTGATTGTATTTTATTTAAATCAATTTGTTTAATCTTATTTCTGTTATGTACATTAAGTATTTTTCTGCTGACCTTATCTCGCCCATAGCGGCGCAGCAGCTTATATGGCCACTCCATTACAGTCCTCCTGGTCTCCAGATCTTGAAGAACTAGCATGTCCTCACCAGCTTGTAGCCAGTACTGTCCTTTCAGACCACATCGAACTGAAGCCTCGTTCTGCAGTACAACCACTTTAAAATCGCACACTAAAATGAAAGAGACATTGAGCTCAAAATTAAACATAAGCTGTGATTCGGAGGTCAAAGGTTATACCATATGTTTTTGTTTTAAACCAGATCTGCATGAAGGTGGTTGTCTGCTGTCTTGTTTTAAAAAAAACCACTCTTTATACAGCAATGACATACTGTAGGAAGTGGTGGGACTGGCCTTTCAGGAACATGACAGCGTGAATGATACATTTGACCTTTGTTTGTACTCACATTGTTCTCTGGACATGTAGATCTGATTGTCCTCCATAAGAGGTACTGGCTGTGGCCCACTTTTAGTGTGTTTCTGTGAAATGATGAATACCATTGAGAAACACAAGCAGGGAGTGGAGTAAAGGCTCCAGTACATTACATAACCAGTTATGTGGCTGGAATGATCTGCATTTTTCAATTTATTAGATTCTTGAACTTTTTTTTTTTCATACATACACCACTGTTCGGGGTCCCTAAGATTTTTCAAAAATGTTTTTTTTAAAGAAGTCTGTTTAATGCTCACCAAGGCTACATTTATTTAATTTGTAAAAACTGTAAAAATACAGTACTAAAAGCTTTTAAATGTAAATATATTACAAATAATTTTTTCCCTGTAATGGCAAAGCTGAATTTTTGCAATCATTACTCCAGTCTTCAGTGTCACATGACCCTTCAGAAATCATTGTAATATGCTGATTTGGTGCTTTTTTTTGTGTGGGAACTGTGATCTTTTCACGATTCTTTAATGAATAGAAAGTTCAAAAGAACAACATTTATTTAAAATAGATATCTCGTGTAATATCAGAAGTAGCTTTACTTATGTTGACTCTTTTGTATAGTGCATCCTTGCTGAATAAAAGTATTTTCTTTGAAAAAAAAATCTGACCCCAAACCTTTGAATGGTAGTGTGTAATAACAATATATCTGAAAAATCCAAACCCTCACCTGAAAGGCATTGTTACATATTATGTCCACCCATTCTCCACAGCTTTCTTTCTCTGCTGCAAATACAAGCCTCCTGTCCTCCATCTCCACACAGAAAGCAGCCATGTTTTCCCCTGGACAAGCCTCTGCATGAGGCGGCAGCTTGACGACACTCACACAGTTGGCCAGACGTACAACTTTCCTCTCTGGATGTCGTCTGACCACCACAGTTGACCGTTCATGAACGGCTTCTGATAATTCTAACCGTGCCACGCCGTGCTGACTAGCCGGATGAAGGGCCAACCAATATCGCTTCCACTTCTGTTAAGAACAAATAGAAAATTATTACTTGTATTATTTTCCTTCATCCATGTTTCTGCAATACAATGACAGTTAGATTTATAACATTTGATAAGATCTATTCAGACTGATGGATCCATCAGGTGGAATTTGTGCTTCAGGTAATGAACACACCTCTGGATTGCTAAATATTAGCATTAAAAAGTTCTTAAAAAGCACGTCACGTTGGAGATATGTATGTAATTACTCACTCTTGCCAATCCCTCATTTACCTCACATGTATTGTGTGTGTGTGTGTGTGTGTGCGTGTAAGGCATGGCCTGAATCTAGTACGTGAAGTGCACTTTCATGAGGGCGTGTTTTTATCAGTGGAATGTGCTGTAATTCTAAACGCAAGACAGAGATGCGCACACCAAGTTTCAACTTGTAGAGTTAGTCCTGTTCCAGCTATCTCATACCAGAAAATAAACTTACACCAGAGTTCATGCCAAAACACAGGGGCATGGTGAGCTATATTTAAAAAGTACAAGCAAATACCATCAGGCTTAAAATCATATATTTTTATATGACTACCCTACTTTGTTTTTCCAATGTTTCTGAATGCTACAAACTATAATATCAATACTAAGTGTAACATCATTGTAAACTCTGAACTATTTTAATAAAACTGTTTTATTTAGATCAGCTACGACCATTTTGTAGTTTTAGACTTGAAGATGACAAACACAAAAACATCTGCCTGTCTTCAATACCAGAAAATAAATGACAACGTTCCAATCTTACCTCGCCATGTTTCTGATGTTGCAGGTAAACTTCACCTTGTTTCCCGTGAGTGTCCATGTCTGCTTGCTTAATCTCTGACAGCTCGAAAAAGTGCTTTCTTTAACAGTTTATCATTCACAGCACAATGTGTGACCTCCTTTAGCTGTTAACACATATTACCAAGCCTTTAACATGAGTTAGTGTAAGTGTACACTTAGACTCCACCTCTTAAAAAACAGCCATTGTTTGATTTAGTGCAATGAATATTCACTTGATTTATGTCTGAATTATACATTTGAATGGTTTTCTTATTTCCTCTACATTTATGGCTCAGTTTGGCATAACCAATATATAAATAAAAATCAAACTGGATAATGGCACTCAAATAACTATCTCATGGCCAACTATATAAAAAATGGTTATCCAGCTCTCTACAGTTGGACATTAAGTATAAATAAACATATTAAGATATGGTGACCATACGTCCCAGACATGTCTTCTAAAAAATGCGTTCGGTGTTGCTAGCAGGTGCTGTAGTGAGGGTAGGTTTAGGATTAGGATTGGGTTTAGGAGTAGGTTGGATTAGCTCAATACAGTGCCTTCTATGGTCACATAATGCGGTGGGTCACAGAATTTGGTGCAACGGGGGCAGCTGGCAATTGTAGCACAGAACAGACAACGCTGGAGGGCAGTCGTCGATGGCCTATGCTCCAGGAAGGAGCAACGGGCCTAAGAAGAAGAGGAGAACTGCTCCCGCAAACATTCTAATATTGCATATAATTTTGCGCATCAGGGAGCCGCTATCAATATGCAGAGTATTTAAATCTCCTTTGAATGAGCGCTCGCTGTTCACTTTCACGATTCTGTGTAAAGAAAGATCAGATATTTGATAATAAACTCAGGATCTGTTGAGCAGCAAATCCTCCAGCATGGTCTGTCAGCCATCTCTCCTCTCAACACGTGATCAATCAAATCTGACTCCTGCTGCTCGTGTTGAATCCGTGTATTGATTTAATATTGAAAGTAGAAAAATTAGAACACGGCTCCTTTTTCGTTTTTTCCCAAAAAATAATTCAGCTTAAATTTTCGTTTTTCGTTCATGGGTGGAAAAATGAATAAACAGCTTGAATATTTGATTTCTACATGTGGGCGGGAATTAAACGCCCCTTTCTGGTGATTGGTCAACCGAAGATCAAACCGTGCCGTCATCAGTTCTTCCGCAGTATCACACAGCATAATAACTTGAAGTGCACAGGAAATAAGCAGCAGTCATATTTAAAGCAGTTTAAATTAATATTGAGTACTGATTGATGTTCACTTGGATTTTTCCCCCATCGAGGGAACTTAATACTCTGTCATTAGATGAGCTATTCATTAGTCTGTTTAATGAGAAAAATATGAAACTGATAAAATGGTTTATTAATCCGTACGACTGCAGCAGTGGAGGACTATTATTCTGCTGCGTGATACTGCAGAAGAACTGATGATGGCACGGTTTGATCTTCGGCTGACCAATCAGCAGAAAGGGGCGTTTAATTCCCGCCCACTAGAAATCAAATATTCAAGCGGTTTATTCATTTTTCTACCCCTGAATGAAAAACAAAAATTTAAGCTGAATTCTCGGTTTTTATTTTTTGGAAAAAAAATGAAAAAAATGAAAAAGGAGCAGTTTTCACATTTTTCTACTTTCAATATTAAATCAAAAAACGAATGATCGAATGATACACAGATTGTGTTAAATCCGTGCATTATTTGATCATTAGTTTTTTTTATTTCATATTGAAAGTAGAAAAATGAGAAAACTTGAAAAATAAAGAGAACAACAGAATGCGCTGCTTTAGCGCCTCTCTTTCTGGCACATGCTACAAACATCAACCACAGCGAATACGATTATTTGACGTTAAATGCATCATATAAGTCATTTTGGAATAAATCACAGTAGGCCTATGTATCATGATAAAAAAAGCGACTTTACAGTCTGGAAATACTTTAGGCTATAGCAAATTATTTCTCGGATCCCCTATCACTTTAAGAACCGCTGGTCTACACCGAAGAAAGACCTGTCTAGACGAGTTGTGTCGAGCTATTCATTAGTCTGTTTGATGAGAAAAATAGGAAATTGATAAAATGGGTTATTAATACGTACAACTGCAGCAGTGGAGGACTATTATTCTGCTGCGTGATACTGCAGAAGAACTGATGATGGCACGGTTTGATCTTCGGCTGACCAATCAGCAGAAAGGGGCGTTTAATTCCCGCCCACATGTAGAAATCGAATATTCAAACTGTTGATTCATTTTTCCACCCATGAACGAAAAACTAAAATGTAAGCTGAATTCTCCTTTTTCTCGAAAAGGAGCCGTTTTCTCATTTTTCTACTTTCAATATTAAATCAAAAAACGAATGATCGAATGATACACGGATTGTGTTAGATGCAGGTTTTTGTTTGTTTGTTTTTTTCATGGAATTGGGCAGTGACGGCGGTACAATATAATTAATTTTCTTAGCACCCCCACATATTGGCGCCGTGCCTGGAATTGGGCTACTATTAAACTCTTGCCGTTTTTTCATTTTTCTACTTTCAATATTAGATCAAAAAACGAATGATCGAATGATACACGGATTGTGTTAGATGCAGGTTTTTGTTTGTTTGTTTTTTTCATGGAATTGGGCAGTGACGGCGGTACAATATAATTAATTTTCTTAGCATCCCCACATATTGGTCTAGCCCCCCCTTAGCACCAGTAGAGAAAAAAATCTGGCGCCGTGCCTGGAATTGGGCTACTATTAAACTCTTGATTTTCCCCCATGGGTTTAAAGTTTGAAATGTTGCATAAATTACATTTGACTGAAATGCTTGTATTGAAACATTTTGCATTCTACCTATGATAAAACTGTGCTAGATGTTAAGGTTTGTGAAGGAGGGCCACTGGTAGGAAGCTTTTTAGCTGTGTTTATGACCAATATGCATAACAGTGACTGAAAAATATGTATTTTAGGTATGGAAATTACATGATATTTTGAGTTTTGATATTTGGGATATGGTCATTGCGCTACTTTGGGCACTACTTTAACCACCCACCAACCACCCCCCAGCCCCGCATGCACCCACTGTCCTCTTTTTGGAAAACTAAAATATGGTCACCCTAATTAAGATCAAAATATGATTTAGTTTTAAATCACTAATTAGAATCATATGCCCATATTTAAACTACATATATTAGAGCAGCTGAGGGCTGTGAAACAGCAATAAATAGTTTTCTATATTTTTATTATTAAAAAAAATGTGCACCATTTGCTAAACTGGTTGCTTTGAGTATATACTCTATTTATTAACAAAATCTTCACAGTATTTTCATATAGGGATTAATTTTATGCTATATCATACAATATATTCTCCTCTGGGGTGCCTTTTTTGCCTTACACTTTGGGTAAAATCCCACTTAAATCTTTTTATATTTGCACCATTTTTTATAAAAATTTATTACATTGTACCCCACTAATTATTAGCAACTTTTCAAAAACTGAATTTATGTGAACATAAGGTTACAACTCAGATATGAACAATTATGGTGACATAATATATTGCAATTTAACGTTTAACAAAGCATTTCAAATGTAGTACTTTTCTTTGGAGACCCTCCTTAAGCACTCACAGAGCTAGTTGAAAATGTTTGTATAGTCTCCAAACCTCATTTCAGAAGTATTGTACATGCACAGACTGGCACACACAGACAAACTCATGCAGCTTCACAGACACAGTATTATCTTATGGGTGTTATATTGAGTAAGTCTACAAACAGTCATTCACATAAACACATCTTTCACACTATTACTTAATGAAGGATTAAGTACATCTAACCTTCATCATCCTCTGAAATTATTCAATTGTTGAATGTCAAAGTATTCAGCAAGAAATAGCCACAGCGGTGTGTCCAGACTATTGGTCCTCACTTCATCTGCGTTGCCATTCATATCCTCTGTTCCACAGATCTACGGCCAAACTTATACTGTACACCTGCTAGCTGTAAGGGAATGCCGAACAAAAAAGAAATAATGCAAAGACAGTTAATAAGGTAATATATAAGATCTGCATACATCTATAAACAGTGTGGAAAGTATCAGAACATTACCTATGGGACAGGGCATCTTTGAAAAATCATGGCAAATTACCTTATGTTAAATAATTTTATCAACACAATATAAGCAGCTTTAAGGATCAAAAACAAAATGGGCAAAAAGTAACTGGTGCAACACTTTACAATTCAATAATAATAATAATAAAAATGAATAAAACATCCATTAATCAAAAAAATTTGGAATGTTAATATGAAAAATTCTTTGTCCTTATAAGTAGAAAAAATACAATCCCTTTTTCCAAAAGGTGGAGCAGTTTCACTATGACATGTGTTTCTGTCTTAAGTGTCTGATTAAGCAATACATGGTGTATCTGTCTGCACCTGGGTAATCCAAATAGTGCTCTAGGCAAATACAGAATAGATTGAAACAATCATACAATAAAAATGTGCTATCCGAGTGACTTTGTACTGCTGTTTAGGCTGTCCAGTCAATGGAGTAACCATGAGACCACAGACACAGGGAAAACCCCTCATTTCAATGCATTAAAAAAGAACAAGTACTGCTGACAATTTACAATATACTGTATCTGTCAATTAAGGGAATAGTTCACTCTAAAATCAAAATTTGCTGAAAATTAACAGCCTCAGGCCACCCAAGATGTATATGAGTATTTTCTTCATCAGAATAAATTTGGAGAAATGTAGTATTATATTACTTGCTCACTAATGGATCCTCTGCAGTGAATGGGTGCTGTCAGAATGAGTGCACAAAGCTGATAAAAACATAATAATCCACAAGAATAATCCAAAAGCTGCAGCTTTGTAATAAACAAATCGATCAGGGTAACTTCAAACTGTTGTTTATGGCTAAAATAGGAGTCCTCGATCTATAACATTGCTTTCACCAGGTAAAAAGGTCATTTTGTCTGAATCAAGAGAGAAATATGCACAGATCAGGCACCGTTTACAAGCGAAAACAGGCCAAAACAGTTCCAACAAATATGTTGGTTGATTTTAATGTAAGAGAACAAAAGTGGATGGACTTTCTTACTGGAAGAAAGTTGTTTTGGGCTTGTATTTTGGCCAGATGTGACTGTTTAAAGTTAAAATGCCTTATAAACGTGCAGGTTTTCACTTCACAAGACATTAGCTGATGGACTAGTTGTGTGGATTATAGTGTGTTTTTATCAGCTGTTTGGACTCTCATTCTGACGGCACCCATTCACTGCAGATAATTCATTGGTGAGCAAGTGATGTAATGCTAAATTTCTCCAAATCTGTTCCGATGAAGAAATAAACTAATCTACATCTTGGATAACCTGAGGATGAGTAAACTCAAGCAAATTTCATTTTTGGGTAACTATTCATTTAAGAACAATGAATGTTCATTGTGACATTAGAAATCATTTTGTAGCAGCTGAACTATGCTTTTTTTTTAACCTTTTACATTATTGAAGTAATTACACAGCTCACCATTTGATGCATTTAATCCTCTGCAGGCCTACCCAAAACTCCAATGACCAGTCCAGTTTGCTTGAAGCACTGTAAAATCTCACTGGTCTAATCTCCCCTGATACCAGCCAAAAGACTGCTTGAGAATGGTCAGGACTGAGATTTAGCTTACAGTACTTTGAATGCACAAACACAAGACATCATGGGACAGAACAACATGTCCAAGAGGGAACCTGCTTGTTTTATTTGATTTTTTTTCCATTTTTGTTAATGCATGTTGCACACTGTGACAGAACTTCAACGGAGGAAGGAGAAAAGCAACCGGAAAAAAATGTTTCTGTGAAAATCCCTCAAAAGTTGTCAGCTGCCACCAGTTCTGTTCATCATAGAATGGTCCACCCATCAACGGTCCTTGTAATGTCAGGTTTCCTTTGTCCCAGCCCTTTCCCTTCCCACTCTTATGACACGCACCTCCCCACCAAGCTTCCTTTTGAAGAAAATAAAACAGAAGACAGGAAAAAAGAAAATGGCAATGACACGGGGGCAAACTGCTAGTCACTATCACAATAGTGGAAATCACATAACTGTTCCTCTGAGATTAATACAAAGATCTTCCAGGAGAACTAGTCGCAATCTGCAGCGGTCCAATAGGAACATTACACTGAGTAACCCGCCCACATTATACATGGAGACAGACGGAAATAAAAAGCTTATAGAAGAGCATCCAGTACCACCCCCCACCCACAAGCCCCACCCCATCAAGCCCCACACAACCCCAGGATGATTGAAGTATGTGTGAGGGTGACCCCTGGCCACCAGCGGTCACATAAAGTCTCTATAAAGGAGCCCCTAACTGGAGGGTCTCTAGTATTTCACGCCTGGAACAAACTCCTTGGCCTCTGGGTTCAAACTGCTCTTGCGCTGTGGAAGAAAGAAGACGTACATATTAGACCATTAAAATGTCACCAAAGTTCATCTGAGGTCTACAAAGTGGTTTCCTTTCAGGAATGATGTGAGATTTGTTTAGCTTAAATACCTGTAAATCAAGCATCAAATCATTACACTGTAATACTTACTGCGATGTCTTCGGCATTTCCGTCACTGACTGACAGCCCGCTTAACTGCTGTTGGATCTGCCCTACTCCAGGGGGAAGGTCTCTGGCAGGAATGAACCAATCCTGATCCTCCTCCTCCAACATTTCCTGGAAACAGCGTTCAAGAAACTCCTGCTCCAAGAGTTCCTCCTCCACCTGCAGCAAGATGACGATCCATCAAAATTTTGCAGTCATTGGCTACTGTATGGATTCATACTAGGCATGTTGTAATTCAGCTGATTATGCTGGTTTGTTTTAAGAATATAAATCTAAAGTGTATGCACTTTAAGGCACCACTTTTCAAGAGTCATTACGGTAATTCTTCTGACTTGCTGTACAGTTAGAGATGGAGAGACCAAACACACTGCAAATGGTGGAAAAAAACAAATTAAACTGCAAACGTGAAAAGTCAGACTATGTAACTTGAGACTTGATGTAACGTCGGTTGCAGCAGTCAGACGGTACGCAGTGATAGACTGTCTCGCTCAAAGATGCTTGCTCTCAAACAATTTGTGTTAATATACAGCAATAAATAGTGGTTTGCATTACAACAAAACCCCAAGACAGGAAACAAATCATAAATTATATGATTTCTCAGACATACACAAATAATCAGTATTTATCATTTTAAAAAAATTAAAAAATATTGGTCCATCACTAAAATAAAAATAAATGAACAAAAAGCAGCCTAAAGTATTTCATATAACTTGTGCACTATATTGCAATAGCCTTATTCACTTAAAAACCATCCCCTCCAATATAGTTCACAAATCTCACTCATGCATGTGTTCAATAAAGAAAAAGCTGTCTTTTATCACATTAAGCCAGGTTTGATGACATTGACACAAAACACTATTAGTTCTTAAGTAACAAGACCAACCACAACATGGCCAGTTGAAAAACATGACTGCAAATGAGATTTGAGAACTACAGCACAAGGGAAGATTAAAAGTGAATGACTTTTGCCACACATAAATCACCATCCACTTCACTTGCATGGAAATGGAACCTCTAACATCCAGCCTAAATGCCCGTTTACAAATTCAGGTCGATTTTTTGCATGCGATTTGCCTGTTCAGACCAATGCGTAAATAACGGCATACAGGTTGAATGAAAATGTAAGCCTACTCTCTTGACAGTAGGTGGTGCTTATAAAAAAAGCAGAAATACCCTGGTTATCCCAGTTACTAAGGACACTGCATTGTCACACAATAGCATTTACATGTTGTTGTTGTTTTTTTTTAACAGCCAATCAGGTTTCTATTTTCACCAAAAGTATGAATCTTATTGGTTGGCCAGATTTATTCACAGTGCGATGGAAAAGAGATTAGAATATCTTTCTGTAAAAATTCTGCCACACTTGACTGCATGTGAATGTTTGACAACCATACATTCAAATTAAAATGCTTTTATGGAAGAAAGTCACAAAGGTTTGCAATGACACAAGGGTAAGTAAATGGCAATTTTTGTGTGAATTTCCTGTAATAACTTTAACCGATCTTGTGAATCCTATTTAGAAGTACACATACAGCAGACATGTATACGTTCAAGCAGGTTCACACTGACCTGTCTATTGTACTCCTCCTCGTTCTCCATCCACATGTACTCTGCGAAGGGGTTGGCGTCCCCCTCCTTGTGTCCATTCACAACATTCTCATCCTTCCCTGATCCGCTGCCGCCTCCTGGTGTCTTTGCTACCTCTGGACTGTTAATATCAGCAGGTTCTGGAGGTATAAAATGCTATATTAATACTAATACTGAATTACCACATCCACTATCACACACATTAAACTAATAAACAAAAGACGTCTTTTGGGACATTGAATTTAATTAGTCTAGATTATATGCATCAGTAAAACTTTACTCAATGTGCACGATATATATATATATATATATATATATATATGCAAATTTAATTTCAAGTCATTGTTATCACAGTAAGAATGATTTGTCCCTCTCTGTTTAAGATTGTGTCATGCACAAACACAAAACTTGCTAGCAAATTAGACATTCAATATTACAAAATGAAGGCACAATCATGTTTATCAAGCTCTTCTAATACTTGCGACACGACACAGTGAGTAACACATGGTTTAAAGCAGTGGTTCCCAACCCTGGTCCTGGAGGCACCTCAACACGGCACATTTTGCATGTCTCCTTTCTCTGACACACCAATTCCAGGTCTTGGAGTCTCTACTAATGAGCTGATGACCTGAATCAGGCGTGTTTGATTAAGGAGACATGCAAAACGTGCAGTGTTGGTGTGCCTCCAGAACCAGGGTTGGGAACCACTGGTTTAAAGAACATTATATAACTATCTGCTACTAACTATCAGTGTGTTGCATAAATGAGACAAAGAGGAGGTCAGTCTCGACACCATCTTTCTCCACATGGATTTGATTCATTGTAACATGAGGCCTGGCTATGGCTCCAGAGAAAACTATCTATAGCATAAACCATTTTAAAAAGCTTCCAATTAAAACAGCCTCCTTTTTGCTGGAAGATATATCGTGCCTTCAAATAAAACACTTGCTCTAATTTTACGTTTGTGAGCGTATATTGTGAAGCTATGCGTGTTAGCTCGAGCCATAACAACAACAGCAGTATTTCCACGTGAAAAAAATGTTTCCTTGCCTTGCAGACTAACGTTTTAAAAGTTATTTGAATGTCATCGATGCAAAAACTGCCACTAGTTGTTGTAAGTAACGTTAGTTAAGTTTGAAAGGGTTTCGTTAAGTAAACGAAGGAGCATGGTGGATGCGTGAGTTAGCCACACGACTGCATCACATACACTAGGCCTCAATGTACACTGCGCTTCACACAAACTGTGCCAAGTGAGCCTTTAACGGCTCAATTTGCTTTATACTGCACGCTAAATGTGTCAGTTTACTTATATATCGCTATTCTACGCATTCAGCGCTAGCTAAGTTACCATTTTACAAAACAAAGAGTGAGAGCAGCACACTGCACTTACAGAGTCTAAAAGATTAAACATAACTCCTTTCAAAGACCTGAACTGTGAAGAGGACTTACCCGGCATGGTAACACTTCTGTCCCTCACACCTATCGCCAAATAAGTCGACTAAAAGGTAATTTTCCTGTTTGCAGCTACACCGTTACCTGGCTAGATTTCAACGCTACGTCAGAGTGCTCATGTGGGCCTTTCAAACAAACATGTCGCTGGCGCCTCCTGAAGGCCATCATCGGTATTTCAAAAGCTCGGGACTGCAAAATGGTCAGGTTTAAAGAGACAGTGGCATGATTTTAAAGGGGTCCTATTATGCTCTTACAAAGTCTTGGTTTTGTTTTGGGGGTGTACTAGAACAGGCTCTCATACTAGCTTGTTCGAAAAACACATTATTTTTCACATATTTTACATTATTACAACACCTCTCTCCCCAGTCTGGCATGAACGGCTCGAATAGTTCCTGTATCAAAGAAGGCCCGCCTTCTGAAATACGAAATGTGCTGTGATTGGTTAGCTGGGCCAGTGTGTGTTGTGATTGGCAGTACTCGGCGCCTGGTCGGGAAATGTCATGCCCCTTACCATAGCCGCCTGCGAGCTTCAGTGTAAATATTGCGTCAAAATCAAATCAATTTGAGCGCGATTTAAACCCAGATGATTGTAAGTTTGTCTGCCTTGGGAAAGCTAGCGTGTCTCCGACATAGTGATAACACTCGTTGCCTTCTCTAGAGCAGCTCAACCAGGTCTCGTCCCATTCGTCGATATTTGTGATATCACAAATCCCGGAAAATATGCGTTGTAGTCCAAACGAGTCGTTCGTTGTAGGTTTTGAAAGTGATTTGTGTTAAATAAAATATCTCCTTTTGAAGTGGACTTCGAGCTTTGTAACTTTGCAGATCTTTTTTATGCTCAAACAGCAACATTACAGACTAACTAAAGTTGAAAAAGTGAAAACGCATAATAGAACCCCTTTAAAGTGAATTCAAAGATCAATTAACCCTTTAATTTTAAAATAGATACTTCCAGTCGCATCATTCAGGCAACATTTTAAAGAGCCATTCATAAAATTAAAATAATAACAAATCTATAGATCTTAATAAACGGGTCAATTTCGTTGTTTTTAAACACGTTAGTTTATTATTAATATGTGATTTTAGTTTTTTGGAAGGCATCACACATTTGGGAGGGTTTAACCTGCATGCAAATTCAGTGAAAAAAGACTTGGTTTTACGCCAAAATACATCTCTTTGCCTGTACTTGAAGGTGACTCAGGAAATGCACAAGCACTGGCAAAAATCAAATGTAAGTATGGTTGTTTGATTTCCAATGGACAGATGCGCTGCAAGTCGCTTATTTTGGATAAAGCATCATGAGATGTAACCTCTTATAAAATTGTGTCATTAACCCAGATTTAGATCTGATATAACCCACTGAAATGTTTAATATAACAACCGTTGATTTTTTAAAAAGAAAATTAGTACAAAGACACTCATTTACAACATTTTAAGGTAGAGAACAATGACCCAGATGTTATAAACAAACGTAACTCCAATACGGAATACAACCAAAGTCCCTTTAAGGCATATAGGCTAGGGTATTCAATAGTCTTTGATACAACACAGTAGGCTGTAGGTCTACTATATATTGATTTAATTACAATATGTGAAACAATAAAATATGAAATGATACACGATAAACAGCAAAATGCTACGTCACAGGTTGCATATTTACATCAGCGACATTGACGAAGTTGTAGCCTAAATTTGAGTTTGTTATTTGAGTAGCCTACTATATTCGTCCTCGATTCCCGGTCAGGGAACGACCGTTTTTGACGATGTGTTTCTTGTACTGTTCAACAATTGTCTTCCATATAGTAGCATAGAAAAAAAAATCAGTCAATACCATCAACTGTTTGGTTACCATTCTTCAGAATGTCTTCTTTTGTGTTCAACAGAAGAAAGAAACACATAAAGTTTTAGAACGAGTAGAGGTGAGTAAATGATGACATAATATAATTTTTGGGTGAACTATCCTTTTAAGGCGTAGTGAAGTACACTGTGGTGTGTTTTCTAGTAGTGAAAATTCACCTCTGGCCGCTGTTACTAATGTTTTCACTCACTGTATGGGGAAAAAGCATAAATTCTAATTTCGTGTGGAAAAAAGTGATTTAATTTGATAACGAAAATGTGAGGGTGAGTAAATGATTTTTAATTTTGATTTTTGGGGGTGAATTAACTCTTTAAAACTGTGATTGGGTTTGTCACCATGACTAACTTGACCTTTTTACTGATCCAACAATTAAAATCATACAACCATGTTATATAATTTAATAATTTAACATAATTGACAGGGTTCTTACTATTTCTGACTTATGCATTCCAAGTGACTTTTCCATGACCTTTCCAGTTAATTGTGATCACTAGATTTTTAAGTATGATTCTATATTTTTCATGACTTTTAAAGTTCCCTGATATTTCTGGGATTTCCTCGACTATGGGTATTGTAGTGACTGTAGTTACAATTATTATTTCTACTGCTTGATACTGCTGAACTTTATAAAAGGAGAAAGACAGACAATGATACTTCTTATGACCTAGTTTCATTGTATTTTATTACAAAGATAATACAAATATACATTTAAGGGGACAAAACTGTGAGGATATTAGGCTGAATTGACCGCAGATGTATTTTTCTGTGTATTACATCCTCTGAGGAAAGAGAGATGATGCTTGTGATAAAGACAAGGAATTTTTTGAGACCACTCATATACAGATACAGCAACAGAAGCGGATTCCATCTCTAAAATCATCTGGATGCTGCTATTGTTCCCAAGGCACTGATCTACATCCAACTAGTTATGAAGACAAACAAACAACAAATATATCATCAATTCATTTATATTTTAGACTCAAAAAGACAAATAGGTAAAACCTGAGAAAACATAGACCATTGAAATAAAGTAAAATTCTCTAATGTTTTCACATACTTTTCAAACAACCCAATGCATTTGAGTTTTTCTTATTTTATATATGCTGTTCGCGGAACGTTTTTACTGTTCTGCAGCAGCATAGTTTACCTTGTTTCCATGAAGTACCAGAGATCTGAAAACTTGTCCAAAAGGCTTTAGCAGCCGTAGCACTCCTGTAACAGCACAGGGCTGATTGGGAACATTACATACAACCAGCAAATGGTCCAAAGGCGTCAGCAGCCCCTAAAAGATAGTGGGACGTCTTGTTAGGAGGTATAAAGAATGGATGGAAGTTTGACAAATCTTATGAAAATGTTTTTTTTTTTAATTATTATTTTTAAAAGATTGAATATTTGAAATGGCTCCAGAACAAGTGATACTTGCATTTGATAATGATGGTCCCACAAAAGCATGAAACACTGACACCTAAAGTATAAGTAGCTACATTAAACCCTCAGAGAAAATGAGCAAAATAATGAAGTATTTATGCAAGAAAATATTAATTATAAAATTGTTTCCGTCCATTAGTGTGTTAACTCACAGGTGAACTAAAGTCAACCATTTGGGACACCAGCTCTAAACTTTGCTGCCTCATGTGAACTGGGATAGCAGAGTAAACCTTCACCATCTCCTGGGCTGAGAATTCAGTTGGAAACATCAGTAAAGCCTGGAAACACACACACACACACACACACACACACACACACACACACACACAAACTGATAAAAGTGCTGTACTTTTACTGGAAATTAGTTTTGAAAATAATATATTTGTTTGTTAAAATAAACACCAGGCCACAATAGCACATACCTTCTTCCATTCTAGACAGGTTGTTGTGTCAACCTCAGTTGCCATTAATACCTCAACAGGGTGACCAAAGGGAGATGCCATTTTGATGAGTTCACTCTCAGAGTAATCAAGAGGGATTCCAGACACACGAATCACACCCTTCTGTTGGAAAACAAGGGAACGATGAGAAAAAAGTGAACTGCTTTGCTAAAAGAGTGGAGTTCGCTTTATTACAGCGCACAGTCTGTAGTGTTTCCCCTCTGAAACTGAGCGATTCTCCCACCACCAGAGGTCACTGTTTCACATTTGTTCATTTGGTATCATGGGACTGTTGGTGCTAACCATTCGAGATGCCTATCTTGTTATTTTCAGGCTGCAATGTTGAGACTAAGCTGATACTTTAATGGTTTAATGGTGGTATTTCAATCATTATGCTGGTAGTGATCACAGTTCACACTAGAAAATAAAAACCTTTATAAAACACCCTCTAGAAGAGTTTTGCTTTGAGGGCATGAAGTTCAGTTATCACCATAATCTCATCAAAACCATCAGTATCTCTAATACTCCTCTCAGAACTTACAGTCTGTGCTGATGTTTTTGCAGTCATCTTAGTTACTGGCATCTGAATGTTCATGGAATCAGTGGTTACTTCAGATTTTGCAGATTTGACTGGAAATGAAGATTGTTGATGACCTTTTTTCATGCCATTGTAAGTGGTAGATCTGCGTGAAGAAGACAAGGTTCTTTGTGTAGTATAGTGTATTGCTTTATTACAGTCTAAAGAGACAAACTCTTGCCTTGTGCTGCATTTTGAGTGAGGGGGAAAATAGACTGAACCAGGCCTCCTCCACCTGGTGACCTCAGCAGACCCATGTTGCAGCCTCTTTAGGAAGGAATTTGAGCCTCTTCCTGGAAAAGAAAACCATGATTATATGATTATTTTCCTGGAAAAGAAACAATGATTATATGATAATTTCTAATGTTACAGCTGTACTGTATGTTTCTTGCCCCAAAACAATTATTATTATTATTATTATTAACAACAACAACAACAATAAACAACCAATTTTAAATAGGATGACAGCATTAAACCTGAAGAAATAAATGTACAATAAATACAACTCCAAAAAACAAACACTCAAATAAATAAAAGGCTTCAGCATCTGCAACTTCAAAAAACACAGTTAGTTTGAATAAATGATTATGGAGTAATATAAAACATTAGATAGATAGATAGATAGAGAGATAGATAGATAGATAGATAGATAGATACAGCAGTAATTTGGTGTGATGTTGCAATTTTCCAACCAACATTTTAGATAAGCTGCATTGTTGTTGATGCATCATTTGTAGATGTAATAACAACTCACCTGATGAATGTCTTATTCTTTTCAGTGTTTTAGACTGGGTCGAGAAGTGCTCATGAATGAGTTCAGATGGGCAGCATTTTTCAGGGCTGAGGGATCTATGGGAATGGGATTCTTGCCATTCACCGTTAATAATCCTTTGATTCCTCTGTTCCCCATGAGCGTATGATGACCCCCTGGATGATTCCACTTGATCAGATGAGTTCCATGTAGCATGGCCATATTTAATGTCCTTTGTTCCTTTGTGCTGTTGAATGTCTTGTATAATGAAGGGGAGATTCTCTGTTGTTAACTGGTTGTCTGGGCAATGGCTGAGTAATTCTAGATCCTCAAGAGAAAGGCCAAGGCTGGTCAAAGCTTTGTTCAGGTTGTCTGTTGGAAAATACAGCATTGTTTGTTGCTTTGGCTCTGCTTCTTCGGTTTGAGGTCTGTCAGGAGGCATCATTGCTTTGGCTATCATTGACTGATATTGAGAACAGTCCACGTCTGGTTTGAAGGTGAAATGTTTGCCAAGATGGTTGTGACTGGATCTAACAAGAGCTTCCTCAGATGCTTGCAGTGGCAACGTTGTGTTATTCATGATGGGACCTAGAGCTTTCTCCTGAATGATCTCTTTTGCTAGAAGGGCACCACTCTCCTTATAGGAAATTACTGAATTAATGTCTGTGACAGATGTTGAGGGGTGGCTAATCATGTGAGGTATGGAATCCATGTTTTTAAAACCCCCTGGGTGCTGGTACATGCTCAAAAATGTGGCTCTTTGAATGCCAACAGGCTGTAAGAGATTTAAAGGAACAAGGGGGTTCCCATAACTGCTATTATTTACAGCTGCAACATTACTAATCAGGTTCAAAACCAACTGAGCTTCAAGTTGTGCTAGTCTCAATAGGAAAGCTTGTGCTGTTCCAAATAGTAGTGGCACACTATTGAAAACACTGCTCATTTGAGACAAACACACTGGCCTGGTGTTGATTTGAGCAGCATGTGGAAGTCTGTGGGGGGGGGGGGGGGAATAAAAAAAGAGGCATATCTATTTATGAATCATTCAAACTATTACATTCAGCACCTGGGTCATTTTTTTCTGGCTCTATCAATTTATTTTAAAATGCTTTGAAAATGTAATTCATATATAATTCCAGAGTTAAATAACTATGATATTTACATTTACATTTAGTCATTTAGCTGACGCTTTTATCCAAAGCGACTTACAAATGAGGACAATAGAAGCAATCAAAACTAACAAAAGAGCAAAAATATATAAGTGCAAATGACAAGTCTCGGTTACATGTAGCAAGGTATTATATATATATATATATATATATATACACACACACAAAGAAAAACAAGTAGATAGAAAATAAAAAATAGAAAGCTAGTGTTCGTTTTTTTGTTATTTTTTTTAAATAAAAAAGAAGATAAATAGAAAAGTAGAATTAAAATAGAATAGAAAGTGCTAGAGTTAGAGGGTCAAATAAAGATAAAACAGATGTGTTTTTAGTCTTTTCTTGAAGATGGGTAAGGACTCAGCTGCTCGGATTGAGTTGGGCAAGTCATTCCACCAGTAGGCAGCAGTTAATGAAAAAGTCTGTGAAAGTGATTTAGTGCCTCTTTGAGATGGCACAATAATACGCCATTCACTTGCAGAACGCAAGCTTCTAGAGGGCACATAACTCTGAAGTAATGAATTTAGGTAAAGGGGTGCAGAGTCAGTGGTGGTTTTGTAGGCAAACATTAATGCCTTGAATTTTATGCGAGCAGTTACTGGTAGCCAGTGCAAATTGATGAACAGAGGTGTGAGGGGCGTTCTTTTCGGCTCATTAAAGATTAATCTTGCAGCAGCATTTTGGATTAATTGTAGAGGTTTGATAGAAGTGGCTGGAAGACTTGCCAAGAGAGCATTGCAATAGTCCAGCCTGGATAGAACAAGAGCCTGAACAAGGAGTTTTGTTGCATGTTCTGAAAGAAAGGGCCTGATCTGCCTAATGTTGAATAAAGCAAATCTGCAGGACCGGGCAGTTTTAGGAATGTGGTCTGAGAAATTCAGCT